CGTTTGCAAAAAACTTTGACAGCTTTCAAAGCAATTTGTTCTATAAAAAGTTTAATAAAACAATTACGGTATCAAATACCAATTGAAAAGATATGGACTACTGTATGGAGCCAAATGAAGAGCGGCAAGGAAACGACAAGAAAGCCGAACGTCTAGCGAAAAGGAGGGAGCTAGCGAAGACGACAACGTTTGCTCGAGGAGACTGCTGAGGAAAGAGAAGCTCGCCTGGGAAAGCGTAGAGAAGCATGGAAAAAAAGACTGCTGAAGCGAAAGGTAAGCAAAGGCTTGTCTTCACAACGCTATGTACCAATGATACTGTAGCTATATATACAAGTTGAAGTATGATATTCGACCCTCTATATTCGACTATTTCTTCACAATTTTCCAATAAAGAGTTTGTCATGACACGCTCAAGTCAGTATAACCAGACTGTATTTTATTTATATCAGTTATCACAGCCACAGGCAATTTTATGCTGTCAAATACCGTCGGTCACTACTCACGATGATTTCATTTAGAAATGCAGTTACCAGGAAAGGAACTGATTCTAAAATATGTAAATTTAAAAGCATTGGCTAACAGAATAAAGCGATGTGAAGACAAGGTACAAACTTTTATAGTTGCTATTTGTTATAAAATCCTATAAATAAACCGATTCAACAATAATATTGCCTCGAATTTGCATATTCTATGCCGCATGTTTATATTTTATTTTTATAGTATAAAAATAAAATTGTAATACTATGAAATAAAATACATTTCTATTTATTGACCAGTACTTATTTAATGTCTTCTTCATCCAGTGTCAGAGTAAATTTCTACTTCTAGCAAGTAAATATTTGACAAGCAGTCTGGAATAAGCACAGGAATAAGCACAATGAGCCATTTTATAGTAGCAATATGAAAAGTTTTTTTCTTTTTCCATGACTTTTAATGCATCAGCCAAATCCAAGTGTGCCCATCCCCCTCGCCCAGCCATTTTCCTGTAAAGCACATCCCGGGGGTTGGGTATTTCCACTCGAACCTTAGCCCCGGCGGGGCATTTGAAATTAATCATTTCGATTCTTGCACTTCACTTGGTGGAATTAATATTAGAATGTTAGGGTTTGTAATCCAAGTGAGAATATATACATGTATATATTTTGTAATCCAAGTGAGAATATTTTGTAATCCAAGTGAGAATATACAAATGTATAGTACATGTATATATTTTGTGTATATATTTTGTAATCCAAATGAGAATAGTTTGTAATCCAAGTGAGAATATACAAATGTATATATTCTCACTTGGATTACAAACCCTAACATTCTAATATTAATTCCACCAAGTGAATGCAAGAATCCAAATTATTGAAGTCCACCTCATCACAACCCGAACACCCGATTACCTAAATATACATGAACTTACAGTTAAAGCTCAACAGCTGGCCTCTGTAGCTCAGTTGGTTAGAGCGCTGCACCGGAATCGCAGGGCCGTAGGTTCAATTCCTACCAGAGGACCTTGTGCTGCATTTTCGCAGTCGTTCCTGGTTAGGTCTTAAAATATATATATTCTCACTTGGATTACAAACCCTAACATTCTAATATTAATTCCAACAAGTGAAGTGCAAGAATCCAAATTATTGAAGTCCACCTTATCACAACCCGCACACCCGATTACCTAAATATACATGAACTTACAGTTAAAGCTCGACAGCTGGTCTCTTGTAGCTCAGTTGGTTAGAGCGCTGCACCGGAATCGCAGGGCCGTAGGTTCAATTCCTACCAGAGGACCTTGTGCTGCATTTTTCGCAGTCGTTCCTTGTTAGGTCTAAAAATGTATATATTCTCACTTGGATTACAAACCCTAACATTCTAATATTAATTCCACCAAGTGAAGTACAAGAATTCAAATTATTGAAGTCCACCTTATCACAACCCGCACACCCGATACCTAAATATACATGAACTTACGGTTAAAGCTCAACAGCTGGCATCTGTAGCTCAGTTGGTTAGACCGCTGCACCGGAATTGCAGGGCCGTAGGTTCAATTCCTACCAGAGGACCTTGTGCTGCATTTTTCGCAGTCGTTCCTTGTTAGGTCTAAAAATGTATATATTCTCACTTGGATTACAAACCCTAACATTCTAATATTAATTCCACCAAGTGAAGTGCAAGAATCCAAATTATGAAAGCCCACCTTATCACAACCCGCACACCCGATTACCTAAATATACATGAACTTACGGTTAAAGCTCAACAGCTGGCCTCTGTAGCTCAGTTGGTTAGAGCGCTGCACCGGAATCGCAGGGCCGTAGGTTCAATTCCTACTAGAGGACCTTGTGCTGCATTTTTCGTAGTCGTTCCTGGTTAGGTCTTAAAATGTATATATTCTCACTTGGATTACAAACCCTAACATTCTAATATTAATTCCACCAAATGAAGTGCAAGAATCCAAATTATTGAAGTCCACCTTATCACAACCCGCACACCCGATTACCTAAATATACATGAACTTACTGTTAAAGCTCAACAGCTGGCCTCTGTAGCTCAGTTGGTTAGAGCGCTGCACCGGAATCGCAGGGCCGTAGGTTCAATTCCTACCAGAGGACCTTGTGCTGCATTTTTCGCAGTCGTTCCTGGTTAGGTCTTAAAATGTATATAATTCTCACTTGGATTACAAACCCTAACATTCTAATATTAATTCCACCAAGTGAAGTGCAAGAATCCAAATCATTGAAGTCCACCTTATCACAACCCGCACACCCGATTACCCACATATACATGAACTTACGGTTACAGCTCAACAGCTGGCCTCAGTGTAGCTCAGTTGGTTAGAGTGCTGCACCGGAATCGCAGGGCCGTAGGTTCAATTCCTACCAGAGGACCTTGTGCTGCATTTTTCGTAGTCGTTCCTGGTTAGCTAGTCTTAAAATGTATAATATACTCACTTGGATTACAAACCCTAACATTCTAATATTAATTCCACCAAGTGAAGTGCAAGAATCCTAATCATTGAAGGTTTTAAAACAGCACACTTTATATAATCATAAACCTTCTTCCAATTATTTATACAATTATAGTGTTCTAGTTTACATGTATTTATAAGAAAAATGCAGTGGGAAAAGCAATGAAATGTTTTATATTCAATATTGCATGGTTCTGGAAATATCAACATAATAAATTCGCGACACATTTTGAAATTATCAATAGCCTATATATAACAATAAATTCGCAACTTCACATAAAACCACAACTCACAAGCATTAGACAAGAGTTTTTGACATTGTTATTAATCTGACTCATGTAGTCAGCTTCCGAAAATGGAAGTTGTCCTGCGGGTCGCTATATGTGAAAGTATCTGATAGCTATACATATTAGTATATTTTTCTAACATTTAGGGATCGCAGTAATTGGCGCATGCTGTTACGATTGCCCTGCCAGTTTTTGTGTTAACGTTATTTGAATTTGGCAAAGTTAATAAATTAATTAATGTATCGCACTAAAAGGGAGACTGGTCGCGCCGGGTTGGGAGATTTTCACAAAATATTGGATTAGTGTCAAATAAAGATTAGATTAGGGTTAGATTAAGATTAGGGCTCAACATGTGTCGCGAATTTATCTTATAAAATAACATGTATATAACGCGTGCTCTGATTGGTCGAAACCCGTGTTTGGATCAAGCCATCCAAACACGGAAATTTAAAGTGAAAGTTTTTTAAAGTGAAATTTTAACACGGAAAGTTGTTATTTTATAAAACAATTACTTTATGGTTTCCGTGTTTGGATGGCCTGATCCAAACACGCGGGAATGTTGTTCGAGTTAAGAAAAGCGCGCAAAATCACTCGCCTTCGGCTCGTGTTTCGTGCGCTTTTCTTAACTCTCGCAACATTCCCGCGTGTTTGGATCAGGCCATCCAAATTCCAAACACGGAAACCATAAAGTAATTGTATAATTATAATGATAAATTCGGACGTGTTTAACAATTTACTCATATAGTAAATTCAAAGGTGGAGCTGATCATGCTGAGAAATATACTCGTTACTTCATTACTGACTCAACTTCGTTATAGCTAGTGACGAGTTGTAAAAAGTTGTAAAAATTATATCAATCATCATGTTTTCGTTTTACTTTTATTTTAAGTTTGTTTGACACAAAAATCCTAGATGCACACGCATCTAGGATTTTTGTGCTAGTATTGCTAGTATTCCAAAGGTCGTAGGTTCGATTCCCACCGTGGCCAGGCATATTAGTTTCAAGCCTGCCCGGTGTGGATACACACTCAGAGTAACATCACACAAGCAAGTCGTATTAATATTGCAAACTCAAAAAATACAAAATTTATGGTTTTTTGTTTTCCATGGATGGGAAAGGATAGAAAACACAAAAGTCCTAATTATAGGCCTACTGAACAAGGATCAGTTACTGGCATGCAAGTGACGGCACAATTTGAAAAATTTTAAAGTAATTTATAACAACTTTATTCAGGCTATACAAGATTTAAAAAATCTTAATATACCGGTAACTATTAATAATACTAAATATAAAACTATAGTGTCGGAAGAAGGCTTGTGTCAGGCTCTGTATGTAATTATACATATTACAGAACATGATCGCAGGTTATTTCAGACCATACCCAATTCCCGGCCTAAACTGTGACTGAGTACTCATCCCAATGTTTTATTTTGCATGGTTCAAATTTACAACCGAAATACGGTTGTATTGGCATATGGACTTCAGTTAACTAAGATTTGTATCAGGCCTATTTATCTATTTATAGACCTGCTCACAGGTTATATAGCTAGACTATAGTGGCAAGTTGTAGCTACATTAGATTATTAGAAGATTATAATTTTTTCGTTTTGTTATAATTTCTTTTTTAAATCTTGCTATGGCGGTCTATGGACAGGAAAGCTGCATGATTGGATAGAAAACACAAATACAAAGCTTCACTAAGATCGACCTGTTTTCCACTTCAAGCGTATCGTACCGTAACGTAGCGAGAACGTTTTTAAATTTAAAAATTTCGTGTATGTTGATTGGTTAGTACTTCCGTAGTACGCCAAAAAGTTGACTTGCGACGAACTTTTTATTTTGATACGCGAATACACCCGGAAGTACGTGGATTTGTAAACCTCTTTTCAATCTGCGCATGCTCACAGATACGTTACGGTACGATACGGGCGAAGTGGAAAACCGCCTTAAGGCATCAACTCAATCAAGAAGTGGATTCAACAAGGTGTTCCTTCACATTTATGGGGAGGAGGACTCAACTCCATGATGATAAATCATTGGACAGAGAAACTTTAATGTAGTATAATCGATTGATAATAATTGAAGCCAAATAACCAATTGAATAAATATACTGATTATAAATAATCGATTGTCATTTGGTTACAGACAAGCGTGTTTTCTATGACAACTTTTCATATGGCAAATTTTATTTGTCACTCAATGTCTGTGTGTATGTACAGAAAACGTTCTATGACAAGTTTTTGGTTTAATTACTGGCTGCTACTATGATAACTGCAACCTACCCTGGTTCCAGAGGTTCTTTGTGAGGTGAAAGAAACGAGAGGCGAGAAGGAAGAGCCTCTAGTCACATCCGATCGGTTGCAAATCCCACTTCCACACTTGATTAGGTTCAGAATTTGAATCTTGCATGTGATTGGCCATTTGTAAAAATATGTCAAACTGGTTTGGGAAATAAACATAAAACATTACTTTAAATTAAGCTAATTGTAACTATAAATTTCCCAAACCGGTTTGACATATTTTTACAAATGGCCAATCACATGCAAGATTCAAATTCTGAACCTATTCAAGTGTGGAAGTGGGATTTGCAACTGTTGTAACCAGAGGCTCTTCCTTCTCTTTAACATACAAGCTGGGGGCCCCCCTTGTGCCCCCCCCCCCCCCACA